ACCTTACAGTGAAATGCTTACTTACAAGCCCTTTAAGCCCTTAACCAACAGTGCAGTTGAAGTAATTGAGGTAATATGTACAGTAGGTAGAGAGAAAATGACTATGCATAGATAATAAACAGAGAGTAGCAGCAGCCTAAAAATGGGGGGGTCAATGCAAATAGTCTGGGTAGCCATTTGGTTAGCTGTCCAGGAGTCTTATGGCTGGGGGTAGAAGCTGTTAAGCCTTTTGGACCTAGACTTGGCACTCCGGTACCGCTTGCCTTGCAGTAGCAGAGAGAACAGTCTATGACTAGGGTGCCTGGAGTCTTTGGACATTTTTAGGGCCTTCCTCTGACACCGCCTGGTATAGATGTCCTGGATGGCAGGAAGCTTGGCCCCAGTGATGTACTGGGCCGTACGCACTACCCTCTGTAGTGTCTTGCGGTCGGAGGCCGAGCAGTTGCCATACCAGGCAGTGATGCAACCAGTCAGGATGCTCTCGATGGTGCAGCTGTATAACTTTTTGAGGATCTGAGGACCCATGCCTAATCTTTTTAGTCTCCTGAGGGGGAATAGGTGTTGACGTGCCCTCTTCACAACTGTCTTGGTGTGTTTGGACCATGACAGTTTGTTAGTTATGTGGACACCAAGGAACTTGAAGCTCTCAACCTGCTCCACTACAGCCCCGTCGATGAGAATGGGGGCATGCTCGGCCCTCCTTTTTCTGTAGTCCACGATCATCTCCTTTGTCTTGATCACGTTGAGCGAGAGGTTGTTATCCTGGCACCACACTGCCAGGTCTTTGACCTCCGACACTGTTGTGTCGTCGACAAACTTAATGATGGTGTTGGAGTCGTGCTTGGCCATGCAGTCATTGGTGAACAGGGAGTACAGGAGAGGACTGCGCACGCACCCCTGAGGTGCCCCCGTGTTGAGGATCAGCGTGGCAGATGTGTTGATGTGTTGTTACCTACCCTTACCACCTGGGGGCGGACAGTCAAAAAGTCCAGGATCCAGTTGCAGAGGGATGAAGAAAGAATAGACAGATGTCTGAGGTGAGTGGGTGGGTGTTATTGTGTGACGGTAGAGGAGAGGAAGGGGTTAAGGTCTCTCCTCCAGTAATAATATTTTCTGGAGCGCTCAGTAAAACATCTGGTTCTCTTTAGACAGGCCTTATTGCTACTGACACTGTTTGTTGGTCTTTTACCCACACTGCAATCACACATACACGCATACGAACGCAATAACTTGTGTTCCCTTGTCCGCTATCCCCTGTCCCCTCTCAGTAGCTTTTGGCTGGACATGTTTCCCGTAGAGCTGCTGGTTTAAGCACCATTCCGGTTGTTCCCCCTAAATCGCTACGCCTCCTTCACAGACCGGATGGCACTTCATGTTATTTTCCAATATAAAACCCTTCCTCTGGCAGCATGGCTTTTCAATGGACCATGTCATGTTTTAGTTATGAACGAACCAGTCAAACAAACTATAGCTGTAATAAACCTGTGGTGTAGCAAGGTTTACTGGCATACTGGCAGTGTAGAGTAAACAATCGCTCTCCTTTCCTCTCCTCTCTTTTCCCTCTGCCCTCCTCTCCTCCTCTCTCCTGCTGTTTCCTGTCTTCCAAACCACCCCTCTCTACCCTTTTCTGTGGGGGGCATGACTAATAGCCACAGAGAGCAGTAGTGCTTGTAGTGGATTAATCAGTGAAGAGAATCACTGTCTGTATATGACATTATCCCCCCAGCATTATACAAGCTGTAAAAGTTTAAAATGCCAGTTACCGGGACAATGGCAACTAACTACAGTACATACATTTTAGTTCACTGGAGAATGCGTCTGGTCTGGGGCAGGGGTTATGGGCTAGGGTTGAGCTGGTGTGTTGGGTTAGGCTGTGGGGCCCTGTAGAGTTGGGTTGGGACCAGCAGAGAGCCCTGTGCTGCGTGTTTGGGTTGGGCTGGGGCGTTGGTCCAGAGATGAGATTATGTGGGTAGGGCTGTGGCTGTGGCTCCACTCCCCAGAGGATAGGGTTACTGTGAAAGCCATGAGTGTGTGGAAACTAATCTGCCATTACCAAGCTGCCTGGCATAGCTCACAGTCCACGCTACGTCTGGGTGTTTCACCAGCTGCTCGCATCTCTTCCAGTCAATGGTGTTTTAAAAGAGCTTGAAAAACCCATACATTCAATTCAGCTCAATTCATGCCCTCAAGTGGACACACACACACTCACATCTAAGTGCAGGAGAGCATCTCAACAATGAGCAGGAAACCTTTGAAGTGTTAGCTCTATCCTGGGTCAGGCTGGGTCAGTCATAACAGCAGACTGGAACAGCCATCAAGGACACAACAGGTGGATACACACCGACACAACATGGCTACAAGCTGGGGATGAGGGTATACGGGCTAATTTCCAGGACAAAGATTAAAAACCGATTCCTGAAATAAAATACACTTTCGATGGAGATTCCAGGGCTGGGTTTACAGTGCCTTCAGAAAGTTTTCACACCCCCTTGACTTTTTTTTTTACTTAGTAGGATTCAAATGGATTTACACAAAATACTCTTTATTTTTTATTAATGGGAAATAAAACACTAATTTATCTTGATTAGCCAAGTATTCAACCCCGAGTCAATACCTTTGGCAGCGATTACAGTTGTTCGTTTTTCTGGTTAAGTCTCTAAGAGCTTTACACACCTGGATTGTACAATATTTGCACATTATTTTATTTATTTTCATTCTTCAGGCTCAAGTTGATTGTTGATCATTGCTAGACAGCCATTTTCAAGTCTTGCCATAGATTTCCAAGCCGATTTAAGTCCAAACTGTAACTAGGCCACTCAAGAACATTCAATGTCATCTTGGTAAGCAACTCCAGTGTATATTTGGCCTTGTGTTTTAGGTTATTGTCCTGCTGAAAGGTGAATTTGTCTCCCAGTGTCTGTCGGAAAACTCCCTAGATCTTGCCGATGACAAGCATTCCCATAATATGATGCAGCCACCATCATGCTTGAAAATATGAAGAGTGGTACTCAGCGATGTGTTGGATTTGCCCCAAACATAACACTTTGTATTCAGGACAGAAAGTTCATTTCTTTGCAAATTTTTTGCAGTATTACTTTAGTGCCTTATTGCAAACAGGATGCATGTTTTGGAATATTTGTATTCTGTACAGGCTTCCTTCTTTTCACTCTGTCATTTAGGTTAGTATTGAGGAGTAACTACAATGTTGTTGATCCATCCTCAGTTTTCTCCTATCACAGCCATCAAACGCTGTAACTGTTTTAAAATCACCATTGGCCTCATGGTGAAATCTCTGAGCTGTTTCCTTCCTCTCCGGCAATTGAGTACAGGGTAGGGTGGAGGGGTTGTAGGGAGAGTGGGATGGGTGCATAGAGAATGATAGAAGCCTCTAGTGGCCAAAAGGCTGTGTTAGCATTGGCAGCGCCATTGAGGGATTCCACCATTTTAAACTTCATTGGCTGATCCCTCATGGTGACCCTGTTGGAGTCATGTCCAACCGGGTCATCAGGAGGGATCAGCCAATCGTGAAGAAGAAAATGTACTACTTCAAAATGGAGATTGCCTCAATGGCGCTGCCCATGCTGTCACAGATGAAATAATGGCACAGATACAAAGATGAGTCCTCTATCTATCTCTATGGATGGGTGTTAAACATCCCCCCTTGCATTGACACATGCTCAGCTGTTCAGTAAGGGCAAACTGTCCAGCCAGAGTGTCACTCAGCAGCAAAGACACACACACGAAGACTCCAGAAATAAACCGCCCCAGCAACTCCATCTCCCCCCTGTGGGCTACACACACACATCTGTCCTCAGAAACCTCAAACCCTCCAATTACAGGGAGGAAACTCCCAGAATCCTCCACCCTGTCATCATCTGATTGGCTGGGGTCATTACCTAAGCAAACTGGGTAATCCAACACAAACCAGAAAAAAGATCCAAACTCTCCTAAAACATGAGACTATCTACTTCCTATGGGACTGAAACTCTTTATCAGCCTGCCTGGGGTTTAGGATGAAACCAAAATGAGAGGGAGCATTCTGCTGTGAGACAGTTGAGCTCTCAGTATCATGTCTTTCACTGTATCAGCTCTCCAACAACACTTCCTTTCAAGTTCAGGTTTTTTATAACTCATCTTTACTTAACAGGTATGATATATGATGTTACAGGGGTTCTTGCCTCACTTACCATACCTTACTCAACAGCAGTGTGTGTAAGTAAATTCAATATCTGGTCCAATGCAGTGTTTGAGATATACAACACCTCCCTCTAGTGATTAAAAGGCACAACAGCAGACAGTCACATACTGCCAGATTGACCAACCTGTTGCATCAGTGTGAAGTCTGCACCCATTATGGCCAAGACATTACAGACCATAACAGAAGTTAAGAGCAGACGTCATAGTCAATTTGGTTTATTATGTAAAATAAATAACACAAAGAAACAGAGTAATAATCAAATGAAAATGGTCTATTAAACTACAAAATGTGGGTGTTTGGAACCTGTTTGTATTTGCTGTTTAAACCACCATCCAGAATTACTATTGAAAACTGAAGTTTATCTGGAATGTTTCAGAGAGATGACCTGTAATATAATCTCTACAGTTTTCTGTAAGGGTATGAATAAACAGCACAGCAAGCGCATATATTCTGTTTTTTGGGAATACCATTTGCATTCGAAAGAACTGTACTAACACTAAAAGAACATACACTATATACGGTTGTAGTTGGATCAGACTTATTCTAAAAACACACAACATGTTTCAACAAAGACAATAACCACAGTAGTGCTACTGGGCCAGATGATGAGTCCAAATAATCTACAGTGGCTTCCTTACCTCCTCTCCTTCACCTGGCCAGATATTTTAAGGTCAGTTTAGATGAAGGAAAGGAGACAAGGTAACCTCTCCAGCAGTTCCTCAGTGACCTGGGGGACCCATCCATCCCACAGTGAATCTAGCCTCAGCCTCCTAGCCAAGCCCCCAGAGCAGCAGCCCACCAATCAGGAGTCTCCAGTCATTATGGAAACAAACTCCTCCTGGTTGACTGGGAGAAAGAGAGAGAAAACTTTGTTTTGAACGCTGAACGTCACTTTAACATTTTAAATGGATGGTTATTCGGCTGAATGTGTGTGAGTGAGTATGCCGTGTTTGCTCCCTGTGTGTGTGTGTGTGCGCGCTCACTCTCTCCGTCTCCGTCTGTATCGAACTCATCTATCATGCTGCGTAGCTCCTCATCTGTGATATTCTCTCCAAGCTCTCTGGCCACACGTCTCAGGTTCCTCATGCTGATCCTCCCTGAGTCGTCATCATCAAACAGCTTAAAGGCCTTCAGGATCTCCTCCTTAGGGTTCCGCTCCAGCATACGGTCTGTCACTGAGACAAATAACATGGATAAACACACACAGGGTTAAATGCAGTGAATTGAGTTGACATGATACCTTACAGTACATGTCAGAGAGGCATGTCTGCTCTACATATCATATTTTGTCCAATCAGAGATCATTCGGGGTCCCTACCTCTTCCACATGAGTAAAGTAGACAGGGAAGAGGTACATGGGGGGGAGGGGCAGGGGTGTTTATGAGGGGGAATACAGGAGGAGTAGGAAGTGTGCAACATTAATAAAGGCACACACCAACAAAAGTGTGTGTACACTAATATTAGGCATGGAACTATTCAAATTTTGTGTAATTATACAACATGAAATTCAACACAGCAGGAACTTACCAACTTCATTAAAGTCATCAAAAGTTATTTTGCCATTGCCCTCTCTGTCGTAATCTTTTAGTATCTTCAGCACATCCACTTTCTTCACCTCAAAACCCAGAGCTCTCATTGCCACCTGTGGGTGAGAGAGAGAGTTAAGTATGATACTTTTACTGTCATATTAGACAGCAAAAGGGGGACAACAGAATACTAGTAATTTTATAAGGTAACTTGTAGGTAGAAGTATACCTTGAGTTCATGGTAGTCTATCTCTTTGTCTTTGTCTGTGTCGAACAGCTCAAACGCCTCTTTGATTTCATGCTTTTGCTCCTCAGTCAGCTCTCTCCTCTTCTTCCGCTTGGTTTTATCCACTGCCAGCTCAGTCCTGAACATCAGTGTCAGGTGTTGTGTCAAAATAAAGAAATAGCATAGATATACACACTTCATTGAGACTACAGACACATATTACACTGACAGTTGCTAAGGTTTACAGACACAGGTGGTTACTAGCTAACAATAGCTAGCATATGTTATCTAGCTAGCTAGATGCTAACTCGCAACCATTGCCAACAAGGAAGCTAGCTGGCTGGTGCTAGTTTGTTTCACAGTTCTTGCTAGATGGTAATCCAATCGTTTCAATACTTTGCTCGAATAATAAACGAAATACCTTAAAGACAGACTCATCATTCAAGTTGTGGCTATGTAGACCTAAAATGTCAAAAGAGAATCCGACATAAACGTGCACAGCCCGTAACAGGCACAAGGTAGCCTCCAAAATCACAACAAATCCGTTAACCCGCGCCTGTTTCGCTGATTCCCATTCGTTGGTACATCATTGCTCCGCTACAAAGTCACTTTTGATTCGTCAAATGAAATCTCGCGTTGCTGCATATTTTCCTCCCGAAAAGACGTCCCGAAGTGCTTGTTGCACTCTGTCCAGTAGAGGGTGATGTATGTCCACATTGACAAGAGAAGCAGTGACCAATGATGGACAAGCCTCATGCATTTGATCTGTTTCACACTCTTCAGACCCAAGTGAAGCAGGAGGACTGGTAGGCCTACATTGCGATGACGAGACAACAGATGACTCCTCAGGATTATTCATATCCTTGCTATGTGATATCAGTTAAGCAGGATCAATGTACACACTTGATCTTCATTAGCAAAAGACTGCATATTGATGATAGCTACTTGAGAACTTAGATTTTTTTTGTTTGAAATAGACTTTAAGTGCTCCCTGTCTTCCCAGTGGCCTACTTGGTGTGTGAACCGCTGATTGCTCATAATTTGCAGATAGTTGTTGACACATCAACCAGGATCAAGGGCCAGGGCAATTTGTGACTTGTTTTGGTAATTAGTGGCTGTATTGGAGGGGGAGTGGTTTCACTTCTCCTAGGCAATCAGCAATTAGTGTTAGTTCTTCAGTCTCCCCTGGTTTCTCAGCGGCAGCTGTAAACGGCGGTTGTGTCAATGGTGGTTTTGTCGCAAAACTAAGACGTTTCTGCCGAGTTATTAGAGGAAGGCTCACTTGAGTATTTTACCTAGTTATTTACAGATTATCTAATTATGCTCTTTTGTGGCTTTGTCAACTATGTGTGTGTTTTCTATACCTGTTCGCGCCTCTACCTGTAGGCTTCACAGACGCTCCCCACCCCTTGGCTGCAACCCTTCTGATTTAGTGTACCCTGCGCACACAACCCATGTGGAATTCCGGGTCTCTGGCAGCATTTGGAACTGCCGATCTGCGCCGAGTTCATCTCAGCCTAAGCTGCCCTTCAGTCTCTTGACTTTTTGGCCCAGACTGGAGACATGGATCACCCCAGAGAACACTGCTACTCCAGCTGCTCTTTCTTAATCTGACTATGTTTTCTCTCATAGTCCGAGAGCATCTGGTCGTTGCGGTGGTGGCACGGGTCTAGTCATTTCTCCTAAGTGGAGATTTTCTATTTTCTCCCTCTCTCACCTGTCCATCTCCTCATTTTAATTCCATGCTGTCAATGTCACATGTCCACTCAAGCTAAACATTATTGTCATCTATCGCCCACCAGGTGCCTTTGAAGAGTTCCTCAATAAGCTTGACACCTTGATAAGCAAATTTCCTGACGATGGCTCACCACTCTTCGTACTTGGCGACTTCAACCTTCCGACGTCTGCCTTCGATTAATTTCTTTCCAACTCTCTCTTTCCCCTCCATGCCTCTTTTGATCTCACCCTTTCCCAATCCCCTCCAACTCACAAGGCAGGCAATACCCTTGACCTCATCTTTACTAGAGGCTGCTCACCTACTAATCTCACTGCAACCCCCCTCCAGGTCTCTGATCACTACTTTGTTTCCTTTTCTGTCTCCCTTTCCTCCAACCCTAGCCACTCAGCCCCTACCCAGATGGTCATGCGCCATCGCAATCTTCGCTCTCTCTCTCCCACTACTCTCTCCTCTTCTCCCTTCTGCTAAATCCTTCTCCCTCCTGTCTCCTGATTCTGCCTCTTCGACCCACTCTCCTCCCTTTCCACATCCTATGACTTGCACTGACCCCTTTCCTCCCGGCCGGCTCGGCCCTCCCCTCCTGCTCCGTGGCTGAGTGACTCATTGCAAGCTTACGGGCAGCTGAGCGAAAATTGAGGAAAACTAAACTCCCGGAGGACCTATCATCCTTTAACTCCCTCCTCTCTACCTTCTCTTCCTCTGTATCCGCTGCTAAAGCCACTTTCTACTACTCAAAATGTCAAGCTTCTGCCTCTAACCCTAGGAAACTCTTTTCCACCTTCTCCTCCCTCCTTAATCCTCCACCCCTCCCCCTCCCTCCTCCCTCTCTGCAGACGACTTTGTCAACTACTTTGAAAAAAGGTTGATGACATCCGCTACTCATTCACTCAGCCTATTGAGTGCACTGGTCTCACTCACACAGAACTACCCTACGCCTTGACCTCTCTCTCCCCTCTCTCTCCAGACGACATCCTGCGACTAGTGAGGTCTGGCCGCCCGACAACCTGCCCGCTCGACCCCATTCCCTCCTCCATTCTCCAGACCATCTCTGGAGACCTTCTCCCATTCTTCACTTCCCTCATCAACTCATCCCTGACCACTGGCTGCATCCCCTCTGACTTCAAAATGCTCCCCTCCTCAAGAAACCAACACTTGACTCATCTGACGTCAAAAACTATAGACCTGTATCCCTTATTTATTTTCTTTCCAAAACACTTGAGCGTGCTGCCTCTGATCAACTTTCTCAAGTTCGCTCATGTCACCCCGCTCCTCCGCACACTCCACTGGCTTCCAGTCAAAGCTCGCATCCACTAATAGACCATGGTGCTTACTTACGGAACAGCAAGAGGAACATAGCCTGAAGGTAGGGAGGCTACCTTCAGGCTATGCTAAAACCCTACAACCTAACCCGAGCACTCCGTTCTGCCACCTCGGGTCTCTTGGCCCTCCCACCCCTACGGGAGGGCAGCTCCCGCTCAGCCCAGTCCAAGCTCTTCTCTGTCCTGGCACCCCAATGGTGGACCCAACTTCCCCCTGAAGCTAGGACAGCAGAGTCCCTGCCCATCTTCCAAAAACATCTGAAAACCTACCTCTTCAAACAGTATCTTAAATAATCTTCCTCCTCACCTCGACCCCTCCCTTAATCAGCACTTGCACTTGACACAAAATAAAAAATTCTAAAAAGGAATATTTTCACCACATTAAAACGAGAGTTCAGTTCACATAACAGGGTTGACCTTAAAATGAGGGACAGGTTTTTTTAACCTTCAAATGAATCACTAATCACATGAAATAAATAATCATCTTCAGAAATGACTATCAAAGCAGCACAATAACTAGGGCTTTTTAATGATGGTGAAAACTTGGAGAAATGTTGGGGTTAAGTGGTTAAAATCTTCCTGGAAGTATTAGATGGTGCAAGAAAATGTCAACGTCTTTATTCATGTTAAAAATCAGATTTATTGAATTCTCCATGTGGTCTATATTAATGTGGTCCTCTGTAGCTCAGCTGGTAGAGCACGGCGCTTGTAACACCAAGGTAGTGGGTTTGATCCCCAGGATCACCCATACACATAAAATAAAAATGTATGCACGCATGACTGTAAGTCGCTTTGGATAAAAGCGTCTGCTAAATGGCATATTATTATTATTATTATAAAGGGCACTTCATTGAATATAACAGGCGTTTAAAACCCAATATTGGTACACATATTCGACATATAAAATATCAAAGGGACGCAAAAGGCACTCATTTCGTGGAACGACCCTACATTCAAACCACTCACCCAAGAACTCTCTCTTTATCTGAGTTCCAGTCTCTCTGTGATTCCATGTTCTATTATTGACCTTATCAACAACTGTTGCCTTGTCTGCAACAGGCTCTAACTTGGCATTAGATGCAGATCTAGGATCAGCTAACCTTGACAAAAACCTAAACGTTCCATTATAGGAGGAATTGCAAAACTGCTCTTAGATCAGTGTCTAGGGACTACTTTATTCTTCACTATGTTCACTTCCTATTCATTTATCAGGTGAGTAAAGCACACTGTCTGACTGGATGATTTAGAAATGAATTGGGTGTGTGCTTCTGTGGGATTGTTATATAATCTGCTGTGCAATGTGGTATGTTGTTATCTAATAACAGTCTAATTAAATTATCTCTCTCTCTCCTATGCCCTCAGACAAGTACTGACTGTGCCCAGAGTATTTTCTCACTGCCCTGGGTTACCACACACCCACACCCACACACACGCACGCGCACACACACCCTGGGTCATAAGGTAACATGAGGGGCGGGTGGGGGGCATGTGTGCTACAGTGAGAAGCAAATAGCCCAGAGCATGTTCTGCCCTGAGAACATATTCCAGGACTTCCAAATATCTGTGTTAGGACATACAAACAAACAAACAAACACACACACACACACACACACACACACACACACACACACACAAACACGTACTAGGTTGCCTTCTGACTGCGTCTCTCCAGCCAGTCCAAACCGGTTTGTGTTTATCTATGGCACAGTAGCTGCTCCTGTAGAGCATCAGCCAAAACTGTACTCAAGTGACCTCTCATCGTGTGTGTGTATGTGAGCGAGACTGTGTTTTGTGTGTGTGTGTGTGTATGTATTTCCTGACACATACTGTATATTGGTGGGTCTGTTCTGAACACACCACATCTGAAACATTTCAAGTTTCATTAGTCGTATGTACGGGATACACATGGTATACACCATCCAACCAAATGCTTACTTGCAGGTTACTTCTCAACAGCTAACAACAATAAGAAATAATATAAGATAAAGTAAAGGGCTCAGTAGAATATAATATTTTCTTTAGCATAAGTATAATAAAGGAAAGCACAATTGATAGTCCAATATTTACACGTGTTTTGGGGAACGGGGGATTGGGGTGCAAGTGTTTAAATTGTGTAGTATTTAGCAATCATAATAAAAGTCTGGTAGTAGCAGTTGTGATGTGTTTGTAGCATGAATGTATGTGTGTGTGTGTGTGTGTGACATGAGAACAGACCCCAGGGGGGAAACAACGCCTTTTTCCTGTTGCAGAGATATCTGACTTCCTGACCCACTACTTCTCAATATTACCACAACTCCTACACTGTAGAACAGGGGTGTCAAACTCATTCCACAGAGGGCAGAGTGTCTGCAGGCTTTTGTTTTTTCCTTTCAATTAAGACCTAGACAACCAGGTGGGGGGAGTTCCTTGCTAATTAGTGACCTTAATCAATCAAGTACAAGGGTGGAGCGAAAACCCGCAGACACTCAGCCCTCCGTGGAATGAGTTTGAAACGTGCTGATGCGAATGAAAAATACTAGTGTTCTCTCTCTCTCTCGCTCTCTCTCTGTATATTTATCTGGGTCAGGGTGGTGACTAAGATATGATGAAGTTCTAGCAAAGAATGGGACAGGCCTTGCTCAAATAGACACGCTAGGGTCTTTCCCTATGTGTGGGGGGTTGGAAACGGTGCACAGGCTCAGGTTTCAAAGATCTTTGTCACTCTATCCTGCGGTGCCCATTACAGTATTAACATAGTCTACTACATTATGAGATGGGCCTGAGACTCAGAGATAGGTGTAGAGGGAGAGAAAGAAATGGCTAGAGAGAGAGATAGAGAGAACAAGAGATGGATAGACAGAGATCAGATTACGTGTAGTGTCAGAGATTAAACTACCGAATCTGTCCACACTACTGTGTCCACTGTCCAGACCACAAAGAGGAACTAAGTTAGTAGTTCACATGAGCCTTAGCCAATATCTGCTCTGTGTGTGTGTGTTTGTGGTAAACTACTATTAGGCTGATTTGAGCGCTTGGAAATGTAAACATTCCTGGAACCCATGACGCATGTCTGTTTTGGGTTGTCTGCCTGTAGAGCTGTGTGTTTGTGTGTGAGAGAGAGAGATAGAGAGAGAGAGAGAGAGAGAGAGAGATGATCGAGAGAGAGAGAAGAGAGAGAGAGAGAGAGAGAGAGAGAGGCGAGAGAGAGAGAGAGGAGAGAGGAGAGAGAGAGAGAGGAGAAGAGAGAGAGAGAGCGAGAGAGAGAGAGAGAGAGAGAGAGAGAGAGAGAAAGAGCGTGTGGAGGAGACCCATGCTACTTGTCTGTCTGGTCTCCCGGGAGTGGAGGTAGGAGATAAAAGAGGATAGAGGGAGGGAGAGAGAGGAAGAAAGGGAGGGAAATAGAACCCACAAGAGGCAGAAGGAACAGGCAGCTCTCCAAACCCTGCTGTAGTGTACACGGTGATAGCGGAACCAATAACTCCAAACCCTGCTGTAGTGTACACGGTGATAGCGGAACTAATAACTCCAAACCCTGCTGTAGTGTACACGGTGATAGCGGAATCAATAACTCCAAACCCTGCTGTAGTGTACACGGTGATAGCGGAACCAACAACACCAAACCCTGCTGTAGTGTACACGGTGATAGCGGAACCAATAACTCCAAACCCTGCTGTAGTGTACACGGTGATAGCGGAACCAATAACTCCAAACCCTGCTGTAGTGTACACGGTGATAGCGGAACCAATAACTCCAAACCCTGCTGTAGTGTACACGGTGATAGCAGAACCAATAACTCCAAACCCTGCTGTAGTGTACACGGTGATAGCGGAACCAATAACTCCAAACCCTGCTGTAGTGTACACGGTGATAGCGGAACCAATAACTCCAAACCCTGCTGTAGTGTACACGGTGATAGCGGAACCAATAACTCCAAACCCTGCTGTAGTGTACACGGTGATAGCGGAACCAACAACACCAAACCCTGCTGTAGTGTACACGGTGATAGCGGAACCAACAACACCAAACCCTGCTGTAGTGTACACTGTGATAGCGGAACCAACAACACCAAACCCTGCTGTAGTGTACACGGTGATAGCGGAACCAACAACACCAAACCCTGCTGTAGTGTACACGGTGATAGCAGAACCAATAACTCCAAACCCTGCTATTGAAAGCGGGGCCAATAACCATGCTATTAATCAACTGAACTAATTCTTACACAGTTCACACGGTTTCTACAAAAAGGCTTCTTTATTTCAAACAAAGGAAGATCGTGATAGCATTCAGATCAGAAATTGGCTATACACAAACATGTACACAAACAGAAAAACAACAAATACAAAAATATATTGCACTTTGTATCAGTTTGGAAGTGAAGATCAACTTTGAACGACAATCTCGGTTGCGTTGATTTTGTTTTCAAAACCACAATTGACCTGTAAACATTTGAAATGTATTTTTGTCTTATTTTCTTTTACATCTGGCTGTTTCTTTACCTCTTATGTAAATACAGAGATTATTTCTGTGTCATATGTCCACATACTACAATCAAACAAGTGCTTGGTAGGGTACTGTATCTATGGAGGGTTTTAGTGAGGAAAGACACCTGAACGACAGAGAGTGTGAGTGAGTGCTTCACAGATACACCAGTGTCTGTCTGAACACACTAGTCATTTCACCATGTACCACATTCCCCAATCAGGAAACCCAAGACACACTAACACCTCTCTAAAAACATCTCCTTTCATTTGTTTCTTAGTTAGTTTGTTCTAAAAGAGTCTGTGTTTGGTGTTGTTTCTAGTTAAGTAGTAATGGTGGTGAGAAGACAACGGACGTGTTCCAGCATATATGACCGTTGAGGAAGAAAAGCTGTGGAAGTTAAATAGAAAAACAGTGAGAGAGGCATGTGCAAAATTCACTCTGAGGCTAGAGGAGATTCCTGACCACTGATTCCAACAGTCCAACAGTGGATTGTCTCTTTTCTTCATCTCCCCTCCTTTCTAGTCTTAGATGTGCCATGTAATGGTCATCCAGTATGTATCAGAAGCTGGGTCTAAGGACTATCTATTCTTTCTGACCAGCAGAGAACCACAATGTTGGTCAGACTGAGGCGTCTCCTGGCCTCTCCACACAGTGTATCACAGCTGACATCCCTGCATCTGTTTATCTATGTACCCGAGGAAACTAAGGATGAGACGCAATGTTGGCTCCAGTGGGGGCTATAGCGTTGTCCATGTTGGATCCATCTGTAGGTGACTGGCTCCAGTAGGGGGCTATAGCAGCGGCCATGTTGGATCCATCTGTAGGTGTAGTTGCTCTGCTCTGAGCAGGTCAGTGTTGTGCTCAGCGAGAAGGGCAGAGGTCGGGTCTCCTGACCTCCTGACCTCCACAGCCCGGCTCTGGGTTAGGGTCAACCTGAGGAACACAGAGAGAGAAGATTAGGCTAGTTAAACCTATAATAGTGTGTGTGTGCGTGCGTGGGGTGTGTGCAAGCGTGGATGTGTGGTGTGTGTGTGTGTGTGTACCTCGGAGTAGAGCGGCGGGGGCTGGTATCTGAACTCTGTGATGTAAGCGCGCAGTGTTCCCTGGTCCTCTTCGTTGACCTCTGACCCCTCACAGCGCTCCAGACAGCCCCACCTCTGCTCCTCTGTCACCAACAGGTCACTGTAGCTGGGGGGAGCTGTGAATACACACACAGCATGGGATTAATTTGGGAGAACACACACACACACACACACACACAATCAGTACACAAACACACAGTACACACACACAGGTGTATGTCATACCCTCAGGTCTCTCTGGCCAGCTGATGGTGCTACAGTAGCTGCTGATGCTGCTGGTTCGATTGGTGAATGTGTGGAGGGGGATGGTCCCGATCACCAATGGCAATGATAGCGACAGATTCAACCCACCAGGGATGTCCACATACACCTGGGAGAGAGAGAGAGGGGTAGATACTGTCTTATTTGAAGCCCAAATGATGATATACCAGAAAGATAACCTTTACAGTACATGACTGTGAAGAACCTGCTAAAGTGGTTAGATTTTGCGAGGCGATTTGACTGACAACACTTATTAACATTCTACCATATTAATACATGTATTACCATTTAAACTATACAACATATTATAATTCCTCACCACCAGTGAGTACTCCACTCTGATGAGTGGACAGTCCAGGATGGACGGGGACACCGGGGGTATGTGGAGCAGTTTTCCATCCCAGCTCTGGCTTTTCCCCTGGGGTATGGTGTCCCCACGCAGGGCTGCCATCTGCTGCTGGAGCTGCCGGGCCTTGCCCTTGGCGAAGTAGGTCTGGGTCTGGCTCAGCGCTGCCTTGGGCACCACCACCCTGGACGAACAGTTCTCCACCTCTGCAAAGATCTGGATGGACTCACCTAGGAGAGGAAAGCTGTGAGATGGGAGGGGGGATGGGGCAGTGTGTGTGTGTGTGTGTGTGTGTGTGTGTGTGTGTGTGTGTGTGTGTGTGTGTGTGTGTGTGTGTGTGTGTGTGTGTGTGTGTGTGTGTTACTCACCTGGTGTGTATCCCTTCCTCTCTATCTTGGCGCTGAGTGAGATGGGTCCCGAGGCACAGAACCAGCAACACAAGGTCTTGTCCTTAGTGCCAGCTTGAGGGGCCTATACACAGAAATGTCACAAAAACTGTGAGCATGTGTGTATGTGAGATGTGTGTGCATGCATGTGTGTTTGTGTATTTGTGTGTGTGTGTGTATCTGTGTGTGTACTCCACAGTCCTCACCAGCAGCAGTGGTGTGTTGATATCGATGTGTTCAAACACAGTGAACTCTTTCTTGACTTTGAAAGGCAGCAGCCATGGTCTGTAGAGCTCTGCTCTAACCCAGTACCTCACACTGCCATGCTTCCCTTCAAACGATGTGGCCAGGGGCCTGAGAGAGGGGGAGTGGGGGAGAGAGGGGGAGAGGTCTATAGGATTAGACTTCCTACAGTTCTATCTTTAGATAAGATTCCATATTAGGGGTTCGGATATTAGCTGTGTGTATGTGTGTGCGTGTGCGTGTGTGTGTGTGTGTGTGTGTGTGTGTGTGTGTGTGTGTGTGTGTGTGTGTGTGTGTGTGTGTGTTACATACATCTGTGGTAGCAGGAAGCTAAAGGCGAATTCGTGTAATCCTGTGTTGAGAACAGTGAGGGCCTCCTCTGGACTGTCCTCATCTGAAACACAGGAAAACAAGATTCCAAATACCATACCTGACACACACTAGTCTACACACACTGTACACACACATAGACACGCACCCACCATTTCATTTCATTGTTTCACGTTGTGCTTTCAAGATGGTGCTTTCAAGTGCCTCATTCCAAGTCAACACCAAGATAATAAACCCAGTAATAAATGCTCTATGACACATTTTATTTTTACTAATGACCCCACAAATTCACACATAATGAATGCTTTATAACACATACAACCCAGTCATGGTATTTCATTTGAATATTACCCATTATGTCAAGTCATAAACGCATCAAATACAACATTTATTGTAATTTCATCCATGAACACTTCAGACAGAGCAGAGCAGAGACATGAAGACACACTCAGACCGAGAAAACATGTATCCCCTTTCACTTCCTTAATCTACATGTTATTGTATTCGTTGATGTGTGAATCTCTGATCATCTATTTTCTGCCACCTCAGCAGTCCTGCATGTTCTCTTTTGCAGCCGAGAACATGGTGTCTGTGTGTGTGTGTGTATGTGTGTGTGTGTGTGTGTGTGTGTGTGTGTGTGTTTGTGTGTGAACAGTATGTTCAACACTCCTGTGTGTACTCTTTGTGGTAAACATCCAGCGGGCTGTTTGTGTGTGTGTGTGTGTGTGTGTGTGTGTGTGTTGTTAAGCCACACCGGCAGCGCGAGGAGAGCAGGAGCAGACCGGTATGAACCAGAATGAGCAGCGGATTTTCGGCCTGATACTCCACTGCATACATACTTAGCCTCCCATTGGAGGAAAGCTAACCTGGTCCCGCCCCTCCACCAAGCCCCTTTATGAATGACCATGTGTTCTGTAATATGGGAGAATCGAGAGAAAGAGAGAGAAACAGAGCCATGGACAGAGCGATGGGGAGGGTAGGAGAGAGAGAAAGAGAAAGGGAGGTAGATAGATAGAATGATTTAGGGAGCGATACTCAGAGACAGAGAGGGAGGGAGAGAGAGTTTTCACCAAAAATCCTCATACCATGCAGAAGTAAGGACAGCCATGTTATTCTCACAGACAGACAGACAGACAGACAGACAGAGCTAGACTGTAATATTTGAGAGAAATAAAGAGGGACTCGAGAGTAGGTACATTCATGCATCTTTATTAAAAACCAACAACATATTTTATTTGACAAATTCCTCAGAGTCAATCAATCAATCAACACACAAATACAATCAGGGTTATTACAGTGCAACAAAACAAGGAAAACATCAAATACTTACAGATCATAAACTAATTAACACTATACTTGAGCAACAATGGAGATCAAATCAGTGTAGGCGGCAGGCAGCTCTGGTCCTGGAGAGCTACAGGGCGTGCCGGCTTTTGTTCCAGCCCAGCACTAACACACCTGGGTCAACTACTTATGGTCCACTATTTAGAACATTGTTGGTTCAATCTGGTGAGTTAGTGCTGGGCTGGAAATAAAAAGCCTGCACACCATGTAGCTTTCCTGAGCTAAACAGATGATCAGCACATACATGACATAATTTACTAGCCAGCTAAATAATGAACCCTACCCTACTGATTAACACTGTTTTCATAAAGGCTATTCTGAACTAAAGGGCACCGGTAGGTTACGTTGCCAGTCGCTGAGAAGGCAACCAGTCTTCTGCTGAAGGTCTTGGTGATGTCACATTGTGATGGATAAAAATTCTCGAGAAAATATGACTTGAGCTCTCACATTACCCTGGCAACAAGAGCCTGATTCGCCCATGCAAAGGTGCATTTACTGTCATAGGACATATGAGCTAGGACTTGTTTGTATTGCTGTGTTATGTCAAGAGTGTATTTTTTATTGTAGTATATACTAACTATGGGATAGTTTTTCTTTCAAATGGAAAAATAAAAAGTGTATCTCTTGGTGTTGTTACTCCCTGTAAAGATGCTAAATAAATACTAAATCATAGGCGAAAGAAGTATGCCCCCAACGCGCCCCCCTTCCCTCAGCCAGTTTGTGAACAGGTTTGAACCGCTTCTAACAAAGGGTGTAAACTTCAGGATGTCATCTGCGAAGCAATGTTCCTGATAAGATTATACAACAAAAGCAATAATAAACCTCGAAAATATTCGAACTTTAACAGCTTTCGGTTAGATTAGCCCTCGCTCGTGTGAAATTTGGACAAATTTAGAGGTTTCTTCACTCGCCACATAAAACGCAGAGAAGGATTTACAAACTTAAATTCGAATAAAACACAATTACTGTATAATCTGTAATATGTGTCATAATAAGACATCAATTGAGCAAATATTTATGACGGATCTGGCCTATTAAACAGCCTAAATTGGATGCGGAAAACCTATCCATTACACCATGACTATCCTTTGTTGCATCAGGACCACTATCCCACCTGACTAAGAGCTGTTATTTGTTCCCATGTGTGATGTGTGTGTTACGCAGTTTATGTAAAATTTAACCCATCATCATTCATGTAACCTACAAATGGCGTAGGCTATAATTACCAGCAATGACAGAACTCCATAACATGGCTGGAATCAGATCATTCGGACCAACCGGAACTAGGCCTTTCCATATACCCTCTTTCAATTTTGCCAGCACATCTCTGTGAGAATGAGTGCGTAATTATGATGTGGTTGTCCCTTACCTCTCTCCTCTCCTATTAACGTGTCGCTATGGTTTAAGTATTCCACCTCCTCGGTGTAATTCTGAGTGTAGGCAGTGTTGGCCCCGGCGTTCCGGGACTCGGTCCACCGGACCTTTGCAACTCCTCTGGCAGTTATGTTCAGCGTTTTGACGCGAACCTCGCCGGTGACTTCGATTATCACCCTCCCGGATACCGAATCCCCTCCGGAGTAAACGGGGACGTTGTTGTCGTTCAGATAGTCGAAGCAGACCGCTAAAGTTTTCACCTTTCCCAGCACCATGGTGTTAGAAAAATAGCGTCTATGAAAATTGATAAATCATTAGGAATCTTCCACACACACACCGCCCACGGCCCCTCGCTTTTTGCTCAGCATAGAGGATGCGCACTGCGGGCTGGGTCAGTGGTCCTCTCGCTGACGGTTCATATGGGTGTCAGAGGTTCAGGGTTACAGCAGCGGCTAAAAGCTGTCATCCTCCCAGTGCGTTCAATACTATGGTCTCCTCCTCCGCTTTCTAGTATGAACAGCTGCTTCGTGTCTCAGCGCTCTTAAAGGAGCCTCTGATCCATAACAACCTTATTGGGCATGTGCGCGCAATTAAACATTCGTTCATCCTTCCGCATGTTGCTGAGTTGAGTTCATATAAATCTCGGCTACAGATCTCGGATCAGCTTCCCAAATCCCAAATCCCAAATTCAAACCCGAAAAACAAAACTGACCTTAGATCAGTGTTGGGGCAATTTCATCCTTTTTGTAGTGGATAGGCCTACAGTTTCCACAAATGTTGCTATTTCACTAACTTGTCCCATTATTACAGAGTTGATATATTATGGACCTTCAACCCTTCATTTGATGTGTTCCTACCCTTAAGGCCACTGTTCCACATTAACTTTTGACATTGGTCCAAAAAATGGTTTTGATGGAAGTCCTGCTGGCTATATGAACCTTCCTACAGAAAATGACGACACTATGGTCCCTTACTGCCATCTACTTGTGAAAAGAAGAACACGCTGTTTAGAGCATTTCATGACAGTCAAATTATACTGAACAAACATATAAACGCAACATTACATTTTGTAGACGCTCTTAATCAGAGCGACTTACAGTTAGTGAGTGCATACATTATTTTATTTTTCATACTGGCCCCCCGTGGGAATCGAACCCATAACCCTGGCGTTGCAAACGCCATGCTCTACCAACTGAGCTACATCCCTGTCGGCCATTCCCTCCCCTACCCTGGACGACGCCAATTGTGCGCCGCCCCAAGCAACAATTTCAAAGATTTTACTGAGTTACAGTTCATAGAAGGAAATCAGTCAATTGAAATAAATTCACTAGGCCCTAATCTATGAATTTCACATGAGTGGGCAGGGGTGCAGCCATGCGTGCGCCTGGGAGGGCATAGGCCCACCCACTTGGGAGCCAGGTTCACCCACTGGGGAGCCAGGCCCAGCCAATCAGAATTAGTTTTTCCACACAAAAAGGCTTTATTACAGACAGAAATACTCCTCAGTTGCAAAGTAGTAAAAAAGTAGTAAGTAGTTAAAAAGTTGCTAATTAGCTAAAATGTTCAAGTTGCCCGTGATGAGATTTGAACGTTTGCGTTATACGGCCACCCATTTTTCACATTCCCAATTAGAAACAATTTCCCAAACAGATTCATATAGATAGTGTATTATCTGAACCTCTCTGAAAGCACTATGAAGGAACAGCACTGGGAAGGAAAATGACACTTAGCTAAAATAATCAGAAATGAAAATACACTACCGGTCAAAAGGTTTAGAATATTTTTACTATTTTCTACATTGTAGAATAATACGGAATACATCAAAACTATGAAATAACACATATGGAATCATGTAGTAACCAAAAAAGTGTTGACCTCTTAAGGATCGGATCCTTTTTTTCAATTTTCCCCTAAAATGACATACCCAAATCTAACTGCCTGTACCTCAGGACCTGAAGCAAGGATATGCATATTCTTGATACCATTTGAAAGGAAACACTTTAAAGTTTGTGGAAATGTGAAATTAATGTAGGTAATACAAACAAAAAAACATGCATTTTCTATTATTATTTTTGTTCCATCATCTTTGAAATGCAAGAGAAAGGCCACAATATAATATTGCAGTTTAGGCGCCACTAGATGGAGGCAGTGTGTGTGCAAAGTTTCAGAATGACCAGTGATGCGTTGCAATACTGGACTATTTTGTATCAAGTATGCCCAAATGTGGCGAATTGGTCAATTGATACATTTTCAAGTACCTAACTATAGAGAACATGCAAAAATGATATGGTGATACAAAATGTAAGTTTACACACTCCCAGGAATGTCATACATGATGGATCATTAGCTTATACACTAACTTTCACACATCTAGATGGTTGGCCGGGGTGGGTGTGGAGCCAGAGACAGCAGGGGTTCAAACTGTAGAACCCATTTCCTACAGTTGAATATAAAAATTGATTTTATCAAACAAAACTATGCTACATTTAATCTCTGGGACCCTTAGGATGACAAATCAGAGCAAGATTACTGAATGTAAGTACATTATTTACCTTCAGAGTTGGGTAATTTTTTTTATCCGAAACTTCGAACATCCCACGGAGCTCCATTAAATCCATTATAAAAAAATGGAAAGAACATGGCACCACAACAAACCTGCCAAGAGAGGGCCGCCCACCAAAACTCATGGACCAGGCAAGGAGGGCATTAATCAGAGAGGCAACAAAGAGACCAAAGATAACCCTGAAGGAGCTGCAAAGCTCCACAGCGGAGATTGGAATATCTATCCATAGGACCACTTTAAGCCGTACACTCCACAGAGCTGGGCTTTACGGAAGAGTGGCCAGTAAAAAGCCATTGTTTAAAGAAAAAAATAAGCAAAGCCATGTGGGAGACTCCCCAAACATATGGAAGAAGGTACTCTGGTCAGATGAGACTAAAATTGAGCTTTTTGGCCATCAAGAAAAACACTATGTCTGGCGCAAACCCAACACCTCTCATCACCCCGAGAACACCATCCCCACAGTGAAGCATGGTGGTGGCAGCATCATGCTGTGGGGATGTTTTTCATCGGCAGGGACTGGGAAACTGGTCAGAATTGAAGGAATGATGGATGGCGCTAAATACAGGGAGGTTCACCTTCCAGCAGGACAATGACCCTAAGCATACTGCTAAAGCAACACTCACGTGGTTTAAGAGGAAACATTTAAATGTCTTGGAATGGCTTAGTCAAAGCCCAGACCTCAATCCAATTGAGAATCTGTGGTATGACTTAAAGCTTGCTGTACACCAGCGGAACCCATCCAACTGGAAGGAGCTGTAGCAGTTTTGCCTTGAAGAATGGGCAAACGTTCCAGTGGCTAGATGTGCCAAGTTTATAGAGACATACCCCAACAGACTTGCAGCTGTAATTGTTGCAAAAGGTGGGGGGTGAATAGTTATGCACGCTCAAGTTTTCTGTTAATTTGCCTTATTTGTTTGTTTCACAATAAATATTTAGCATCTTCAAAGTGGTAGGCATGTTGTGTAAATCAAATGATACAAACCCCAAACAAATCAATTTTAATTCCAGGTTGTAAGCCAACAAAATAGGAAAAATGCCAAGGGGGGTGAATACTTTCGCAAGCCACTGTAGGTAGACAGGTTTGGTTCTTTCATACAGAAGGATGAACTCTGCCGTTGTGACCTGCCTTACATTGCACATTAAGCCAAAGTGTCTTGAGTATGGTCTAATGCTCAAACTCAGCAGAAACATCTTTCACATCAACCCAGATCTGCTGCAGGGCCTGGGCAACACAACTTGTCTCAACCTGTCTTCTAACTCCATTGGAGGCAGCTCTTCAGGTGCAGTGTTCTGGAGTGGCCAGCAGCCCAGCGCTGGTTCTGGCACCACCCGAAGAGAGCCATATGGAGCGATTGGAGAGCCACACGCATTACTACAAAGCACATACTTCACGGCACATAACCCACACACCCACATGTATGCACACACACACATACACACACACGTAGCCTATTGTAAGGGATGCATGGTTTTCTGTATAATCTGTAATAAAAACATTAGGCAATCATTTCTGTTTCGATTGAATTATCAATGGTCTCATTAGCTTCACTGTAAAAATAATAATATATACTTTCCTCTGCCTCATCTACAGTACAATATAGTAAATCATGCGACCTGGTATTAAACCATACTGTGATCATATGTTGGCTACATTCAGATGTTTTGACCAGGTGTAAACCAGTGTAATTATACACTATATGACCAAAAGTATGTGGACATCTCATTCCAAAATCATGGGCATTAATACGGAGTTGGTCCCCCCTTTGCTGCTATAACAGCCTCCACTCTTCTAGTAAGGCTTTCCACTAGATGTTGGAACATTGCTGCGGGGACTTGCTTCCATTCAGCCACAAGAGCATTAGTGAGGTCGGGCACTGAGGTTGTCGATTAGGCCTGGCTCAAAGTCGGCGTTCCAATTCATCCCAAAGGTGTTCGATGGGGTTGAGGTCATGGCTCTGTGCAGGCCAAGTTCTTCCACACCGATCTCGACAAACCATTTCTGTATGGACCTCACTTTGTGCACGGGGGCATTGTCATGCTGAAACAGGAAAGGGTCGTCCCCAAAACATAATTGTCTAGAATGTAATTGTATTCTATAGCGTTAAGATTTCCCTTCACTGGAGCTAAGGGGCCTAGCCCGAACCAAGAAAAACAGCCCCATACCATTATTCCTCCTCCACCAAACTGTACAGTTGGCATTATGCATTGGGTCAGGTAGTGTTCTCCTGGCATCTGCCAAACCCAGATTCTTCCGTCGGACTGCCAGATGGTGAAGTGTGATTCATCACTCCAGAGAACGCGTTTCCACTGCTCCAGAGTCCAATGGCGGCGAGCCTTACACCACTCCAGTCGACACTTGGCGTTGCGCATGGTGATCTTAGGCTTGTGTGCAACTGCTCGGCCATGGAAACCCATTCCGTGAAGCTCCCGACGAACAGTTCTTGTGTTGATGTTTCTTCCAGAGGCAGTTTGGAACTCGGTAGTGAGTGTTGCAACCGAGGACAGATGATTTGTACGCGCTTCAGCACTCGCCAGTCCTGTTCTTTGAGCTTGTGTGGCCTACCACTTTGCGGCTGAGCCATTGTTGCTCCTAGATGTTTCCACTTCACAATAACATCACTTACAGTTCACCGGGGCAGCTCTAGCAGGGCAGAAATGTGAAGAACTGACTTGTTGGAAAGGTGCCATCCTATGACGGTGCCAGTGTTGAAAGCCACTGAGCTCTTCAGTAAGGCCAATCTACTGCCAATGTTTGTCTATGGAGATTGCATGGCTGTGTGCTCGATTTTATACACCTGTCAGCAACGCGTGTGGCTGACATAGCCGAATCCACACATTTTTGTATATACAGTGCCTTCGGAAAGTATTCAGACCCCTTGACTTTTTCCACATTCTGTTACGTTACAGCCTTATTCTAAAATTCTAAATAAATAAAATAAAATGTGCAAATGTATTACAAATAAGAAATGGAAATATTACATTTACATTTACATTTACGTCATTTAGC